GCATCTACACGAAGGAGCCATATTATCTAACTAGCCAGCACCTGGCACATGGTCTGCGGGAATTCGTGGCGATACATCGTCTGAATGTGTGGACTTCTACAGCAGTTGAATCGGCTACCTGGATAGAGGATAAGAGGTTGTGGGATGTCAAATTGACAAGGAATGGTGAGCCTCGGACTGTGAGGGCTAAACACCTCGTCATGGCGCTAGGTGGAGGAATCGCAAATCCAGTCATGCCGGTTTATGAGGGTAGGGATAACTTTGACGGAGATATCATTCATTCCGCCGCCTGGAAAAACGCAGACGCATATAAGGGTAAGCGAGGTATAGTGGTAGGCTCGGCAAACACGGGATTTGATGTAGCAGAAGACATGGTTGAAGCTGGTCTCTCCAGCGTGACAATGATTCAGAGAAGTCCGACGCGTGAGTTGAAATATCAGAGACGATTTGTTTTATTGCTGAACTAGAGACAGATGTTGTACCAGAGAATCACTTTCGCCAATTGCTCGATAGTGAGTGTGGCCCCGTAATGCTTGCTCTCATGTCTGATTTTCTCACCAGAGCTGTATAATCCACAAATGGATGTGGGTCTTGCTGACCGAATCTTGATGGGCCCGGCTTACCCGGTGGGACGACTTCTAATCATGGACGTGTCTGCTGCTCTCCTAGAGCAGGAAATAGGTAGATACGATGCCATAAGTGCTGCTGGCTTTCGTGTAAAGCTGGGTCCAGATTTGCTAGCCGATGTTGTTGAGCGCCATGGAGGTCACTTCCTCGATGTCGGGACGACTCGACTGATCGAAAACGGGAAGGTGAGCGCTCGACTACTCGTGGTTCAATTTGGCCTTTGCTGACTAAGTGACAGTTGAAAGTCAAGTCAGACTCGTTGCCTGTCAAGTACACGCCCACGGGACTATGCTTTGCAGACGGTAGCAAGCTCGTGGCTGATGTCATTGTCTTCTGTACAGGATTCAGCGGAAGCATGCGGACTGACGCGGCCGAGATTGTCGGCGATACAGTCGCTGCGAAGCTTGACGAGTTTTGGGGCATGAATGAAGAGGGCGAGCTCCGAGGACTGGCTGTCCCAATCGGTCGTAAGTGCTGGCGAATACTGTACCATCACAAGCTGACCACGCTCTGTAGATCCGGGCATATGGTATTCAGGCGGAGGCACTGGCTATGCTCGATTTATGTCACGATTCTTGGCGTTGCAGATCAAGGCCGATGTTGAGCGCAAGCCTTTCAATCCGTATAGCTGAGGTTTGCAATTGTGTGGTTCAACAAGTACCGCGCAGAGCGGGTGGCTCTTGGCGCATGGGTCATTTGTAAGACGCCTCTGACAAGTGTGGTCATGGCGTATTTGATGAGTTCCTTCCGGTTCGAGCGTAGCGCAGGCCGCTCGTGGATGACAGGATTCTCAAGGATACTCCAGAATGCTCGCATCGCTCCCTGCAGTCTCTACACGAGGGAGAACACCCAATTCAACGTGAGTGATATCTGAAACGTCGGAACCCGTTTTGATCTCGTCCACTGTGCATAAATTCGTTGTGAAAGCTCCCGACGGCGTCGTACCTTTGCCTGATCTAGCTTCGTGACCAACGGAACCAATGATCTTGCCCACTAGGGGCTTAGTCATTGCAACAGAGCCAGCGATGATGCCCAACCCGCACTCTATCAAAATCCATATAGCAATATCCCCATTATGGTAGAGACGCTCTGTTCGTGCAGAGAAGTACTTGATCCCCGGAAGACGGACAATTGTTGCTGAGCTTGCTAGAAAGCCAACACTTAGTATGGTTATGACGGAGAACTTGGTTCCTTTAGTCATTTGTATGTTCCAAAGGACCACAGTCGGCAGAATGGCGCAGGAGAAATCCGTGATTAAGCTCGTCGCGGAGACGAAGTAACCTACGGCTAAGAGGACTTCTACATCGCACTTTCCGCCAGCGATGTTTGGGTTCCACATTGCGGCGATAGGATGGCAGACGTTCAAGAGAGCCACCAAAGCCGCGAAGTTGCTTGCCGCGTTCAAGGCCATGATAAAGTACAAGAAGTAGCGCATGGGCAGTGCAATGACAATGCGTAGAAGGGTCAGGCAGATTGACGTTTTAACACAAAGGAGAGTTAAAATGTAGCAGGGTTCCGCGACGAGGAAGTACTGACAGCTAATGTTAATAGACTTAGATTGTAGAATTGACTGGAGCGGATAGATCATACGTGCAGCGCATCAGCTTCATGTTGTGTATTGAGATGCGAATCTTTTCGACCGGTACCATGGACGCCTGATAGGAGGAAGAGAATGTAGGTTGGGACAAAGCAAAGCTTAGAGGATATGTTAGTACACAGAGACGCCTGGTGACATAATGAATGAGATAGTACTTCAGCCCCGATCATGAACCAGTCCTGTTTTTGATGATGAGTATAGGCGAGTGAGGCTGGTTTGGACTCGCGAGACTTACATCCTTTCCAAAAGCTCGAATCATTCTCCGTGCGATGCATCTCAGAGCGACGGCTAAGAGCGATAGTACGCCCAGCACTGTAGCAAGTACAACGATAGACAGCTGCTTGCCTTCCATCGTCATGGCGCAATATGGCCGTCGCGTGCAATCAAACCCGATTCGAAGCTGCAAGAGCAGGGGATTGTAGTTTACAGAAATTCATCATGTGGAGACGGCAGTGTGTCAAGCCTTTTTGTGAAGCACGTCTTTACGGCCGACGACGGTTGTGATCATTGATCAATACATGATTCACCCGTTGTATCAGGTGAAACTAGATCTACTGTTGCCAAGTGTATATAGCTGGAAGAAATCGCAAAAATTAACGAATCGGGAAACGCGGTCGACTGTTGCCAAGTCTATATAGCTCAAAGAGATCGTGAAAAGAAAATAACGAATCGGGACAAGACCGCACGAAGCCGATGCACACGAGGGGAATTGAATCAATTGAATGTTTATACTTACTTCGCTGAAGGATCTTTGATAGTCAGCAACTAAAAGTGTGACAATGCATAGAAGAGCTTCGGCTGGTGAAATGTCTAGCAGGTCGAGATGTCATAAAGAGTCCCACATTATGATCAAGGCTCTATAGACCTCGATAGTGTTTGGATGGTCTTGTATGTGGACCTCAAGGTTATCCCCGAGGGACCATACCATACCATATGAACTGACTCGTGGTCCATTGATTAAATCGGACGGTGCTCTAATAGAAGAAGCCTCGGACAAACGGCGAAACAAGGCAGTGTACGGAGGGATACGGGGACTAGCTGAGTAAAAGTACGGCTGCTGAAGTTGTTATTAAAGGATTGGAAGCCAGAAGTCGAGCCCACGACTTGTACTGTGATACATGGAAGGGAGAGACGGGTCAGCAGGCCTGGACTTTGGGATCCGGATGACTTCAGAGGACGTTCTTCAAGACAAGATGGAGTAGCCTTCAGACTGGATTGTAATTGAATTCGTATGTGTGAATCTGTCATTGAACGAGATGGGGGAGCGAGAGAGCGTGCAGAGTTCAGTAGCAGGAGTCGAGTTGTAGGCTTAAGTTGAGGGCCAAGCTCGATGTAAGCTTTACGGCAGACCAATCAGACAACGTCCTGGCCGATAACCTCCGAGAAAGCGCTCGCAGGCTTCCATCGACCTTGGACGGCCTCTGCCAAGCGTGTACATTGTCATTAAGTTTTCCCAAAATTACCAAGCATACACACAGGCATCCACAATGGGCTGGTTTTGGGGATCTCCAAACGACAATGAATCTTCAAGCTCAACGGGTGATGCGTACAGCAAACTTGATCCTTCATTGAGGGAGTTCCTCGACAAGGAATCACCTGTGAGATACCATCCCGGGACAAAGACATCGCAGAACGCGCAACAGCAGGAATCATATCGATCGCAAATTGGCATTACCAATGGAGAGTCGACTTCAGCCGCCTCGACACCAGACACGACGACAAAAGTGCCAAAAGAGTCACTATATCAAGATGGCCGATATGCGCATCTCTGGAAAAACTATCAGCCCATCGCAGACATCGAAGCATCGCAAAGATCCGACCAAGACCGATTGACCGACGTAATCGAAGCGTATAATGATAGAAAAGCGCAGATCGGAAGAGCGGCTGTGGAAAACTGCATATTCGAGCAACTGGCCGAGCATGACTGTTTCCAGAAAGGTGGCATGCACGCAAAGCTCACAATGTGTCAAGCCGAGAACAAGGCTTTCAACAGATGCTACCAAATGCAGAGCAGGTTTCTCAAAGCTTTGGGCTATCTGGGTATGGAGAGGACTGCCGACGAGGAGGAGAGAATTCAGATGCACGCTGATAAGCTATATCAGGAGATGCTGGTGAGGGAAAAGGCAATTGCGAAGGCGAAAGAGGAGGGTCTGCCAGAGCCGGATTTCAAGCCCTTGTTGAACGACGCCTCTGTCGCTGATGCTATGGGCGTGAAGCCTCTTCCGCCCACACAATCTACCGCGTCTGCTTCAGCCTCGGTCTCCGCGGAGGTAGCTGCAGCACAATCAAAATCACTGCCTCAGCCATTGCCGACAACGGTGCCCGAGAAAGAAGGTCTGGATATTTATGCCGCCGACAAGAGAAAAGAGATTGAAAAGAGGCTGGCAGGAAAGAGCAAGATGGAGAGAGAACTGGAGATTCAACTCATGGTCGCTGAGAGCAACGCAAGCGTCGAGTATGCGGAGAAGATCCGTGATTATTACGATGAGGAAAGAGTGGCACGCGTTCAGAGGAAGGAGAAAGGTCGCCAGACTTTTGGTGACACTCTGAAGACCTTGTGGGGATGGGACAAGTAGATCCAACACTTCAATATCAACAATTGTCATGATCATCATGTTGCATAGGAATACGAATGCCTCTTCATATTGGCACCATAAGCTATCTCGAGGTAGTCCGGTCAGCACTCTGTATGTCGATTGACGACTGCAGTCATGTCAAACGCCATGATAATGAAATTATATACTCTCTCTAATTGGGAAATTAATGTCAATTATATGGGCTTGTGGTCTAGTGGTATGACATCTTCTTAGCATTTTCGGTTTCGACCGAGCGCGATTGGAGAAGGTCCGGCGTTCAATTCGCCGCTAGTCCATTTTCTTTTTGCCATCATCATGGCTCGAACAATATCAGTATCATGTATTATGATTACATGATGCTTTCAGAACTTTCCCCTCCCTTGGTGGTCTTGTAATTGAGTATAGGTCTGGTATTCTCTCTTTTTGCCAAGCATGATGGAAAGAGCTTTATTTGTCAATCCACTTTTCTTTCAATATCAAGGACATCTGAGTACTCAATCTTGATACTTCCGCAAAGCCGGCTTTGCCATGGGTCATCAGAGTTTGTCTCTATCAAGCCAATTAAAGCGCCGAGATCGTAATTATTCTTCACCACTGCAAGACGCCAGGAATTTGATACTGGGGTGCAAAAGAAGTCTGTAGGCAGGATCTACTTGACACTATTCTGAGCACTCGCGTTGCTACGAAGCAAGGAATAGCTCGACTGTACACTCCACTCGAGGCTGTTTCGAGAGGACAGCTGACAGCCTTGCTGCCTCTGTCCGTGCTAAGTTCGGCAGCAGGCATGATTCCGAAAAGCATAATGTGCTTATGCAGTGCTTCTTGGAAATAGTGAGATGGTGTGGCTAGCCCGCTTCATTGTTAGCTAGGCGACCTGCAGATGCTGTGACGTGCATTGCTGTGGCCACGTGAAAGCCTTGCACTACTAGTATTGTTGTTCTATTAAATAGGGTAGTAGCGAGGAGGTGGCATCATGCCTTTTGCCAGCGACCGCATCAATACGAGGTTTCAAATACCTTTATGGCATTTGTTTTACTCGTCTATAGACAGAATTAGCAGAACATGTACAGGGTCACGCCCACGCCCACGGACCGAAACACTTTTGTATTCAAGGCGACCCGTCAGTCAAGCAAGAAGACTAGAGGGGGTGGGATTGAGGCAAGGGGGAAGAGCCGGTACGTGCCAGCAGCAACACCACCTGCAGTTGGAGCAAGCCATAGTTTGGAAACATAACCATCATCAGTCTAGCATTTGCAAGGGTAGACAAAAATGGAACCTCGGTGTGGCACCAGTCCTTATACTGACTGTGACGATAAACAGGTCTTTGGGAAATATCTCGTCCTAATGCTAAAAAATGCTGTACTTTCGAGGGATCCGAAACGATTCGCGATAATATTTCGTCGTTCCCCTCCGCCTCGAGGGCTTCGAGGGACGATGCAATCAGAGAGCACAGGCTTCAATATCGAGCATGCATCGGCGTGCCCGAGCAAGACGACGATAATCCTGTTGAGCAGCACGGTAATGAAAAGAGGAGAAACCGAAAATGACGTGCAGGAATCATTACCGCGCGCCTAACAAGGGGGCCATGTCGGCCGGCCATTGCTGTCACAGTTTGACGTGGCTTTGACCCAGCGGTATGGTTATTGGGTCACACGTGGCAACCCTCGGGTCTATTGTTGCGCATGCAGTCCTAGGCACCATGAACAGTGGCTACCTACCTATGCTGTTCTTCAGTATCCCGGTTATTTGTTTCATGTATAAGAGTAAGTTCTGCTGCTGTGTTCATGCGGACCGTTTCCCACCGGGATCGTCGTACGATATGGGTAGCTGTGCAGGAAGCGTGGCATGACAACATCGTACTGAGGTCATGCATACAGTGGGATGAGATGGTCTGCATGATCTGTATGTCGCCCATGTTAGATGCAACCCGTGACAGGTGTTGGTGACTATATACAACACATACGAGTACGGTAATTGATAATTCAGCGACCGGCAAAAGGATTCACCGCTCTTTAATGCAAGCATGCGGGGTCCGCTCCACCAGCTCGGAACAGGTACGGAGCTTCGCCGAGGGCAAGAGTCGCCCTCTCCAGTGCTCGGTACCGGCCGACCACAGTGACGTTATCGCTGGAGTATGAACAGACTTTGGCTTCAATCCAGACGTCTTATTGTGTAAGCTGTTGCCGCCATTCACAATGCCTGAGATAAAGAAGTACAAGGTCACTGAGCCATGGCTCAAGACGTCCTGCGGGCTCGGTGAGGCACCTTTTTGGGATGAAGCCACCAACACCCTGCGCTTCTTCGACATCGTAAAGCAGCAGATGCATCTTGTCGACCTGGATGAAGGCCCTTCCTCGCACAAAACAATTGACCTTCCCATTTCGATCGGCTCGACGGCAAACATCGAGGGCAATGATGACGAGTTCGTCTTTGGAGGCAAGTCGGGTTACGGCATCATGAACAAGAAGACGGCAGAATGGAGATACATCAAAAAGATGTGGGAAGGGGAAGAGGCACAGCAGGCGAAGGAGCATAGAATGAGAAGCAATGATGGCGCTGTGGATGCCCAAGGAAGATTCTACGTCGGTACAATGAACGATCCATTGGTCCACGAGATTACTCGAGAAGGTACTAGAGTAGTTTGCCACGAATTTCCCTCTAGTCATTGATCTGGTGAACTCAAGGCTGACAATCGATTGTAGGAGTACTGTTCCGTCTGGATCCAGACCTCAGCCTTCACCGTGTCCGAGAGCCAGTGGAAATTCCTAATGGCATGTCATGGTCCCCTGACAACAAGACCATCTACGTAACCGACTCCCCGACCACTGAAATAAAGAGTTATCCATACGAACTTTCTACAGGCAAGATTGACTTTTCTGCTGGAAAGACTTTCTTCAAGTGCCCAATTGAGGGTGGTGTCCCTGATGGCCACTGCCAGGATGCCGAAGGCTGCTTCTGGATTGCCATGCACGGAACTTGGAAGGTCGTCAGAGTCAACCAAAAGGGCGAGATTATTGCCGAGATCGAACTTCCCACTCGCTGCATCACCTGCCCTGGAATATGCGGCGAATCTTTGTACATCACTACGGCCGCCGATGAGGAGCCCGACAAATACACCGAGAGTACCAAGCTGCAAGGAGCGACGTTCAAGGTTGATATTGGAGTTAAGGGCTGTCCACTCAACAAGTTCAAGATGGCCACTAAAGCATAAAGAGAAGCCGACTAAGCCCCGATTTATTAGAGATCAGGCGCCGCGGCGATCTGATCAGGACAATACAAGTACGTATGAGTGCTACGTGGCCACACTACTTTGCAAATACATGAAAGAAATACGCGTTTGAACCAATCAATGCGAGCTTCGCTCCGCGCAGTTGGTTGAAATACGGTTTACGAACAAAGCGTTTGCGGGGTATGTGTATGTTGCGGTACAGTACTGAATCGTGTTAAACTTAAAGTCGGCGAGTTAAGATTCAGAGTGTTGGCTACATATTCCAGGTGGAGGCAGATGACAGCGTCCAAACAGCTAGCAATTCTAGATCAACTGTGGCTGAAAGAGCACAACGGCTAGATCCGCGACATCGGATTCCCAGAAAGCCATCACTACGCACATCGGCGTTCAGATCTAGGCAAGATGCGGCTTGGTAGAGTTGACATGGCGTGCTGAGTCCCCGATCAAAGCCATCGACTAGCTGTGACACATCGTTGATAACAGAGGTGGCTCGCCAATTTTGATTCAGCTGGTGACATTGACATGCATTCGGCCTTGATGATGATTAAAAGCAAAGCTTATGCACGCCTCGAGCCTTGCTGGACGGAGTGATGCATGAGGCTTGCTATTCATCGTTTCGCGCACTGGAGCCGGGCACTTCCCGAATCCTGAACGAGCCACGGTAGAGACATCGAAGCTCGATTCTCTTCTCGATTTCAGACATGGAGAATTTCCTTCTCTAAATATAGCCATGAACAACACTTTGCTTGCCATTATTGTGGTGATGTAACGTCGAACAGAATCGAAAGCTCGCCGGGCTTGCTCCAAGCCTTTACCGCACGCCATGGTGCTATCAACGTTTCTAACAAATAAGGGTGCCATGCTTTTCTCCCACGTGCTGACGGCACGGACACATGGATCCATTAACGCAGGGTCCACCGGACCGCCTGTGTACAGATAAACGCGGGTAGGCTAGCCAGACAAAACCGCGAAGCTGTCGTGTCAGAAGTCAGAACAGATGATGATGTACAGGAGAGTGACGCGGGGCTAGCTGAACGCCATGGCGCTGACCGCTCCGGACAATTGCATGCCCTCGTGCCAGCCACAACGGTATTGGGCCTCTTATAGTCACATGATGTGTACTGGAGGGATAACATTTCCCTCGGCTTCCACACCCGGGGAGCTGGGCGCACATGGTTGGTTCTAGGCCGTGGTAACGGAACTAAATTCTGTGCCGATGCAACAACAATTTCGACTACTCCACCGTAGACGTCGACCGTTGCTGATAAACAGTGACGTTTGAGATGCAGATACACCCGGGACAGAAGCGAACGAAGGTAAAATCTAACGAGACAACAATAAAATCTGAAACACTACGTTGAAGATGATCCGGCTGCCGCTTTCTCAAGAGGGAGACGAGTGGATCCACTTCTTCGAGAAACCTTCTAGTAGTACGCAATAGGCTATCATAGGCAGAGGCGCAGAAGCCGGCCGCTAGAAAGAAGAGAGAAGCCCGGGTCAACCTCATGCAAGCAATCAGACAGCGCGCTCGCAATCGGGCAAGCTAGGTACCCGTGAGAGCGCCGCAATTTGATCTATATTTTGATTAACGCGTGGTGCTCCTAGGAAATTTGGTGGAGCTGTTAGCGGTTTTTTTTTTTACCACGATGACCATGCAATGTGCTGCATATGCATGTATGTACAGTACTGAATATTATACGCAGACAGTGTTGGGCGTTCGTGCAGTAGTAGCATGGAAATGAGGACATCTGACCAATAGCAAAATTCGCCAATCCGAAATGCAAGGCTGCGGTCGGCTTTGTTGGCACCACTTGCGGTGTTCTTAACGTCTCACATGACGCTCCTGCAATGCGGGTGCACATGCAGAGTCTATGCCAACGACCCGTCCCATCAGCGCCTAAGATATTCATGCATTCTACATTCACGACCCTCCTGGACCATATGGTAGGGCTCGCTGTATCGGATCAAAAAGTATGCGGTCGTTACAACCACGTTTCCTCGCTTCGCAGTGAGGGCCATCGACTTAATGAAGCTCCAATGAATCTCCAACAGCGCGGCCCATGCACA